ATTTTGGCAGTTAAGTTTTTTTTTTTTTTTTAAAGTTTAAATAAACAATAAATCTTCAAAAACAGTTTTTAATGACAACATAGTACTCCATTATTGAATAAATCATAATATATTTGACCACTTCATTTATGTCAAGTATTTTGGTAGCAATCAAAAAAGACAAAAATTTTAAAAAAAGCTATATAATTTTTAGAAGTTATTTACTTATTTTTATTTTGCCAGATAGTGCATGTGCTTGCAGGAAAGAAAGAATGAGAGACAGAGAAAGAGAGGATGCATTACCCCATGAGAGACAGTCAAACCACGGTCCCTTCTCCCCCATCTCTCCCTTTTTGCAGGATTTTGGACATGCCTGCACAGATATCCAGCGATTCTTTCAACCTGCTGGTCTCAGACTTGAACTGCATGGTCAGCCATGTGAGATCTGGCTGCCTTCATCAACAGGCCACAGAGCCAGTCCTTAGTTTCTTTCTTTCTTTATTGAGAGAGGTAGAGAACCCTGAAAGGGTCTTGTCATGCTGCAATCCTGCTCCCAGTTTTCTAGACAGCCAGGATCATGTCGTGTGTGCATGAGCAAGCCTGGCATGTGCAGATTGATCTGAGATCTGAATCCAGTTCCTTCTCACATGGCTCTGGAATCACTCTACATCATCCATCTGCCTGTGCCATCACAGTTGGGCCTGCTGTTTTAATTTTTTTTCTTTTTCTGGTTTTTGCCATAGGGCATGTGTACTCGCCAGAGAGAGAGAGAGAGAGAGAGAGAGAGAGAGAGAAAGTGAGAAATTATCCTTAGAAGGGTTGGCCACACTGCGACCCCTTCTTTATCCTCCTCTTGGGATTATGGGCATACTCACTTAGGTGCCCAGTGTGATTTTCAAGCCACTATGTCTGAGGCTCAAACCACTGGTGGCCATATAGGAATCTAGTGCTCTAACCACCATACAACCTACTGGCCCAGAATGTTTTGTTTTTTGTTTTTTGGGGTTTTTTTGAGAGGTTTTTGCTATAAGGCACTTGTGCTCACCAGAAAGATAGAGACAGACAGGGAGATAGAAAGCGAGAAATCACCCCCCAGGGGGGATGGCCACGCCGCAATCTCTTCTCCTCCATTCTCTCAGAATCTTGGGCACGCATGCACACGTGCCTAGCATGAGTTTAAGCCACTGAGTCCGAGACTCAAACCGCGGTTGGCTACATGGGAGTCCAGCGACATAGCCATTACGCTAACTGCTGGTCCCCCCGAATGTTTTTAACTGAAAAACTTTCAGAAAATTTCTGAGTACTTTCTATGATAAATTTCTCTAAGTGGGATTACTTTGGCAAAGGAAAGGCTTTTAATTTGGACTGACAAATTGCCCTTCAGGAAGGCTGCACTACAGTTTTATCAGTAGTGTATGAATGTGGTTTCCTTGCATGTTTGTCAGCCTTGCATAAAAAAAGATATGTCACTCTGTCAGCACTGACATTGTTATGTGATCCTATTTTTAAATTATTTGCATCGCTCCTGTCAGATTTTTAACTGGTCTTTTGGTTTCCATAATGAGTTCATTATCTACGTGTATCAGAATGCAAGGTTTGACCTAACTTCTTGGACTATCCATGCATAAATCCATGTCAGATTTACTCGAGGTTCTTAACTTCTGGGGAACAAACTATTTTCTCTTGGGACTTATACTTGCTGGATTCAGGTCAAAAATGCACTAACTTTACATCTGCTTTCTTTCCATGAGGGGAGTATATCAAGATCCCAGGTTTTCAGAAAATGAATTCCTTCCTGCCGTGCACCTCCCTCTCCATTCCTAGAATAGGCCCTAAATGCTCACTTAACATGTCCTGGGCACTAGCTCTTCAAATAGCAGTTCGAAGCAGTCTGGAATCAAGATGGCTTGTTTCGAGTTCTAGCTTTCACTGACTTGTGATCTTGGACATGTCCCATAAGCCAGTCCTTTGTAAGTGTAGCACAGAGAGTCTAAAAGGGTAATACATAGCCGATAGTGGGCCTTGACACAGACTCGGCCTGAGACAATAATAAACTGATTCCTGATGAAAAGAAAGTGCAAGCCTAAAGAGAGATGCTTGTGAACAAGAAGCTGGGTTGAGAGGGCAGAGGAGAGTATGGAGAGAATTCCAGATAGAGGAGGTTAGGACAAAGGTATGCTTGAGGTGCATGAAATAAGATGCTACATGTAGAGTCTAGTGTAATGTTTGGTGGGTAGGGAGAAAGAGAGAAGAGAGAAAGAGGGAGAGATGGATGGAGGGAGAGAGGGAGGGAAAAAAATAAAAGAATCTTGACTCCCGTACGACGGAGCTCTCTAGGGGAATCGACTTGTCCTTTCCATCTCTTTGGACTGCATGGAGGGAAAAAAATAAAAGAATCTTGACTCCCATACGACAGAGCTCTCGAGGGGAATCGACTTGTCCTCTCCATCTCTTTGGACTGCATTTTCTCCTCTCATGTGTGAAGATTGTTCTCAGCTGCAATTACTGCTTGGCCCTGTTCCTCCTGTAATAATTATGTAGGGCTACTATTTATTAAAAGCCTGAGTCAGATTCATTATAGGATTTATATGTGTTCTCACATTTAATCCTAAAAATCTGAGGAGGTTATTATCCTTATACACTTCTTTATGGATGAGAAAACTGAGGCTCAGAGATCCTGTATAACTTGAGGTGAATTAAACATCGAGTATGTGACAGAGCCAAAATTAAAAGCCAGGCTGGTCTTATTTCAAGTCCATGTTCTTGACTGCCATGCTACACTGGTCCTCAGTTAGATTCCTCTTTGATAGTTTCTACATTTGTACAAACCATCTGTTCATTCCACCCAGTCCATGTTGTTCCTCAGTAGCTATGTCTGTAACAGACCTCTTGTTTTCATCTGCCAGCAAGATGGAGACAAGAGCTGTTTTTCTCATAGACACTTGCTCTTATACAGTAAATAGGCAGGGGCTGTGAATTTGGCTAGGCCAGTTACAGAATCTGTGTTCTGATGCTTTCTGTGATTTTGAGCAAATTAGTTAGTCCAAGCCTGATCTTCCTCATATGAAAAGTAAGAATGCTACTTCACTGGAGAGTTAAGGAAAAATTAAAACATCTAAAAGAAGGGAAGTGGGACCAGCAGATGGCATAGTGGTTAAGGTACTGGACTTTCATATTGTTGACTGTGGTTCAAATCCCAGACCCAGTGGCTTGAAATTCACTGTGGCATGGCCATTCTCCCCTCCCCGGGGGGGGGGTAGGGGGTGATATCTCATTTTCTGTTTCTCTGGCAAGTGTCCATGCCCTATTGAAAAAAGTCTCTGAATAAATAAATAAGGAAATTGCCTAAAATAGCAACTAACAAATGGCAAGTTCAAAACACAAGACAAAAAACTGCTTAATAAATAAAAATGAAACCCTCATTTTATAGATAGGAAAACTGATCTGGAAATGCCTTGCTGGGAGAACAGATGTTCTACCTTCTCTATCCAATTTCACGATTCTAATATTCCATGATGCAAGTTCATTGGATCTACTGAGGCATTCCATTTCTGCCTCAGTGAGCTCCAGCAGCCATAACAAAATATCAAGAACTGGTTGGATTATCAACAACAGAATTTTCTCTGTCACGGTTCTGAAGGCCGGAAGTCTGAGATCATGTCCCCACATAGTTAGTTCTGCTGAGGGCCCCTTCCCATTTCAGATGATTGACTTATTGTTGTATTAGTACAAGGCAGATAGAGAACCTCTCTTGGGGTCCCTTTTATAAAGGTAATAATCCCATTCAGGAGGGCTCCAGTCTCGTGATTTAATTACCTCCCAAATGCTCACTTCCTAATACCATCATATTAAGGATTAGATTGCCAGCATATGATTTTTGAGGGGATGGGCACAAACATCCATTCCATAACAATGTCTAACAATGTCATGTAGGCCAAAAGATATTTTTCTTCTGAATTAGGGAGAAAGATAATTTTCCATAGTTCCAGATCTGGAAAACAGGGATAATAACATGTGTATTATGGGATATGAAGGTCAAATGTAATAAGATACATGAAAATGTTTTGACAGATATGAAATGCTTCATAATGCTTACTGTTAGACATTTTCATTAAGTGCTATATAAAAAAAGATAGATGGGAAATTAATAGAATTTTATAACATAATTAAGACTTTGAAAAATCAGAGCGGTGATCAGAAACAATAAAATGTTGCTCAAAATAAGCACAGGACACTTTAAAAAAGGAGTAAATGACTTTAAAAACTACTCTGTGTTTATTACCTGTACAAATAAAATGGAAGACTGTGTTTATTATATTTTTAGAGAAAATTGAAAAAGATGTACACAAGAAATTGAAAATAATACTAAGAATTATGTTTATCAAGAGTAGATTAAGTTTGGTGTAAAAGGCAAGAACTGCTATGCCAGGGTGCTGTGAGGCAGTTGGGTAAGCAGTTGCTTCTACATGGTCTGCTTTGTGAGTCTCTGTTGACCAAAATATTATCAACTTTTCTACTAGATAAATAGTGTCTGAAATTATACTGAAAGATACAGTCTCTCAGGCTAAAGCTAAATATTGCTCTAACGGATTATAAACTGATTTCAGATATGGATTCTTTTGTTTTTATCTTTTTAAATTTGCTATCAGGTGCATGTGCTTGCCAGACCAGCAAGGGGGGAGAAAAAGTGAAAAAGCACTCCCCCCTCCTCCATAGAGGGATAACCATGCTGCAATCCCTTCTTTTCCAGCACCTCTTGGGATCCCAGGAATGCACGCATATGCACCTGGCATGTTCCTCAAGTCACTGGGTTTTGGAGAACCAGGTGGTAGGTCATGTGAGATCCTGACACCTTAACTACCATGTCACCAGTTGGCTCTTGATACTGATTATTTCTTAAGATCTCACTGGCATTAAGAACAGAGAGAATAAATTCAACAAAATGAAAGGTAAATTTGCACTCCATATTTTTTCAAAGAAAAGTTTTCTAAGAAAGTCAGACTTTCTGCAATACTCCCTATTAACATTATAAATCGCATGGGGGATTTACCCTGATTTTGCAAACATACCATGCCTTTTGAGTTCTAAGAAGAATATAAAACATAAATTTATAAAATATTTATTAAAATAGATATTGTCTTTTTCATAAGTTATTTACAAACAGATTTACTGAAACTTTTGAAATAACACACAATATAATAAAAAATTTTAATAGATAACAGTGCTTTTTAAATATATTTCCTAAAATGAACCACTAATATTCCTTAGAAAAGTTATAGGATATTTGATCACCTAGATTTAACAAAATACTCTTTGTAGAAATGAGTATGGTCACCAAACTGTGACCTAATCAAAAGAAATTCAAATAGATCAGCTCTTGCTCAGCGTCTCCAGTGGAAAACAGCTATTTGAGAACTCACTTCTCCTGATGTACAGCAGCAGCCCCTGCTGGAGAAATAACAGTATGCTTCTATTACAAAGCATTAGCTCAAACCTATTTTGAACTGGGAGAACTCACATTCTTTTCATTTCCCACTTAACCAACAAACTAAGTCAAAATTATTATTTTCAAGGTCTTAACGATGTGCGGGCCTTATCAAGAATATCCTTTCTGATTTTTGGATAAGTTGGATGTGTTTCAAGAACCTGTAAAAACAGAACAAAACAAAATAAAAAAAAAAAACACCTAAGAACTTAATTTTTGAGAACTGAGATCTACAACACTTACTACACATGAGCATTACAATTTAGTTTTATTGTACTTCAATTAGAACACTTTTAAGAATTTTTTTTACCTGGGACTTGAACTGCAGCTGACCATGTGGGATCCAGATTCCCTTGCACAGTGCTTAACCACTGTGCTGTGGGGCTAGCCCTCTAAGATGTTTTTAGAAAGATACATTTAAGTGTTTACCTGGTGACATATGTCAATTGCCTCCACGTATCTCTTTGCTTTTAGGTAATTAAATGCTAGTTTGTAACCTGTTAAGACAAAAAAAAATCATAATGATATAGTACTTATGGTACTGTTTCTAGAACATACTACTCACTATTCCTTTTTTTTTTTTCCTCCTCCTTTATTTGCTTTCTCATTAGAGGACTTGTAAGGGCAGCTGGTGACTGAACTAACCACAGAGAAAAGTGACGCAATAACAGAAAGCAGAGTGTCATGAAAGAAGAAGAACGGAAAAGAAAGCAGAATTGGAACAAAGACCACAGTGAATGCTTTACTGTTGAGCTAGATAACTGGCATCCCATAAATGTAGTTTCCCCAACTTAATAGAGAAGTCTCACTTATTTCAGTTGATAGTAAACTAGTCATAGAGCAGTAAAAGACAGCATAGCTAATTTTTATAGTATAAGTTTATTTAACACTTAACACATAAGGCAAACTGATTTGTTTTTCAATTGCCAGAGGACACATGTGCTCACTACAGAGAGACAGAGATTAAAAAAATGAGAAGGAGCAAGCACTCCCTCTCCTCCACCCCCGAAATGAGGCATGGAAACATTGGACTCCCTTCTGTATTTCTCCATCTTATTGAGATTTTGGGCATGCATACACATGAACTCAATGTGATTTTCAAGCTTCCAGGACCAGGATTCAAACTGCAGTCAGCCATGTGGGATCTGGCTTCCTTTAACCCTTTGGCTACAGGACCAGCCAAGGCAAACTGATTCTTATGGTTATAAGATTTACATTCTATTAAGGAGGACCAAGGCGACTCAATCTCAGCTCTAAATCCCATCTTCCAGACCCCCAAAAGCTCAGTCAGAAGCCATTTATATCTGGGGTGTGCCCTGCCATGTTCTGGGACCAAGGCAACTGAATCTTTGCTCTAAACCCCATCTTTCAGACCCCAGAAAAACACAGCCAGGTAGGGCAACCTCCATCTTTTCTCTGTCTCTGACTCTCTCTCTCTTTCTGTCTCTCTCATATTATTTTTTTAATTTTTAAAATACTTATCACCCCTGACCTGTCCATTCTCTTGCTAATTTCAGAAGCCATTTAAATCTGGGGTGTGTCCTGCTGTGTTCATGGGGTATGCTTGTGCTCTACGTGGTGTTCAGTTTTTGATTTAAAAAAATTTTTTTTTCTTTCCCTTTTGGGTTCTTTTGTTCCTTTCTTTTTTCCCCTTTTGTTTTCTTTTCCTTTTTTTTTTTCGGTACCTTACTTTCTCATTCTGTTGAGTGAGTGTCTAGACCGGACTAGGTGCACAGTAGCAAAGCATCTGAATACTTTAGGGTCATAGAAATCTTCAACCCTAGCAGAACCTGCTGCCTGAAGGAAGAAACTCCTCTTAATAAATCAGAACTCAAAACCTCTTTCTGTAGATACTACAATGCAAAACACAGTAGAGAAGATACATTATCTCAGAATTATGTTATAGTAAAGGGAGGTACATGACCGTACAGTTGTAGAAATCTTCTCTAAGCAATTAGCCTAAAGTGAATACACCACCAAATGACTAAAATCCAGAAAAAAGAGCCTGCAGATTGAGCAGCAGGGAGAAGTACAGAGCTGCAGAGAGTGAGGTTCATCTTCTTCCACACACTTCTGAACTCTCAGCTGAAACCCCACAGCTCAGCCCAGGTACACCTATTCCCTAGAAACTATGAGGCCTTTGTAATATCCAGTTCCATGGTCAAAGGGTCAGGATGTTTGGTGAGCATAAGGGAAATGGAACTGCAGAGAGATTGGGGATCGCTTCCTCCCACATATATCTGAACCCTTAGAATTAACTCCAAGAAATTAGGAAGAAACATAATCCATCAGATGACCATAAATCACTGCAGAGGAACAAAAATATGAGAAACAAAGAAAATATCTCTATCCCAAGAAAAAAGAAAAACACTTCATCATCCACTGACAGTTCAATGAAAAATTATATTGTCATGGAAATGTCCAATAAATAATTCAGAATATTCATAGTGGCAAAACTAAACAAGATGTGAGAGACGAGAAACAATGCATTCTGGAAGATGCAAGAGAAAAGAGAATGAGTTCCAGGAGGTGAGGATCTTCTTTCACGATCTGAAGGAAGAAATACATGTCATAAAAAAGAATAAATTGGAGTTGTTAGAGATGAGGGATGTAATACAGAAAATCAAAACCTCCCTTGAAAGTATTAAAAGCAGACTAGATCATGCAAAAGATCAGATCTCAGATGTTGATGTTGAAGACAAAACCTCTGACCTAGAAAATATCACCAAAAAGACTGAGAAAATAACCCCCAAAATATGAGCATAATATACGAGAAAAACTAGATACCATTAAGCACCCAAACATCCAGATAATCATATCCAAGAAGTTGAAGAAACTGATAAGGGCACTGATAATATATTCCATGAAATCCTGAAAGAAAACTTTCCAAACCTAGAGAGGCATTCAAATATCCATGCTCAAGAAATACAAAGGACCCCTAATATAATCAACCCAAGAAGATCTTCCCAAGGCACATTACAGCCAGATTGCTCCAAGGCACATTATAGCCAGATTGGCCAAATCCATAAACAAAGACAAGATACTAAAATTGGCCAGAGAAACATCAGGTTACTTACAGAGGTTATCCCATGGACTCCAACTCCTTCACACTCAACAGTTTATTCTTTTAATAAAAAAAACTACTGGGATTCTGGGAAAGTAATGACACCTTTTTGCATAGAAAAACACTGAAAAATAATACATCGTGACTTAAAAAAATTTTTTTAGAGAGATTTTTGCTATAGGACATATGCACTCACCAGAGAGACCTAATGAGGCAGAGAGACAGAAAGTGAAACATCACCCCCCACATGTTATGGCCATGTGCAATCCCTTCTCCTCCATTCTCTCAGGATCTTGGGCGCGTGTGCATGTGCATGTGCACACACACACACACACACACACACACACACACACGGCTGGCATAAGTTTTAAGCCACCGAGTCTGGAACCGAAACCGTGGTTGACTACGTGTGAGTCCAGTGACGTGACCATTACACCATCTGGTGGTCCTGTCATAACTTTTCTGATGATCTAATATTAAAATCTTGCCAAATATGTGAAGGAGCACTATTTTAGAGCTTCAAGAAAAAGCCACAAAAAGTGTGAAAGACTGAGTCAAGTCTTAGGAGAATGAACAGGTAATTGATGATGGTTTGAAGATGAGCCTTAGGAGGACATGACAAGTTTGTAAGCGAAGCGCCATTATCTGTAGGATGGAAAAGACTCTGTAGATTACTCCAGAGAATAGGTCTGGGTGGTTTCACTTAAGCATATTTCAGCTCAATAGAAAGAAAAAGCATAGCAACGAGCTCCTTCACAATGACAAGTGAGGTTAGTCAATAAGTACTAAAATATTTTGGATGCTGCACATCTGTTAGGGATGGAGTAGACACTGCCCAAACAAACCGTCCCCAAGACACTTGCTCTAGATGATGTTCCTAGATATTCAGAGGGGAAAAAAAAAAAAAAAAGAAAGAAACAAGAGTCCCATGGTTACATAATTGTGGGAAACTTGGCCCCTCTATGATAATTATCACAATAAATATTGATGCTTAAAAATTCGAGAAGTTCTGCAGTAAGAAAACCTAGGGAACTTGATTTAATGCAGTGTTTTCCTAATTTACTTTGCAACAAAGCACTTTTTCAAGGCACTACCATTCTCAAAATAGTGGAAAGTGAAGGGAGGGAAAGGGACAGTTATACTCAATGTCCTCTAAGGAGACTGAGGACAGGTTTGGACCTTGGGAAATTACACCACTGTAGCTAGTAATTTTATAAATATACAATTTATTCACTCCTCAAAAAGCCTGACAATGAAAGCTGGCTCACTGCCTATTCTGAAAAAAGAATCAAAATACAAATAAGACACAAGTTCCCTGTAACAGCCTAATTTGCTAACTTACCAACAGCTGGATTTGTCTGGCTGCCATGCTTCCATGCCATCTCGTAGTTTACGGCAGCATCTGTATAGGACTGCTCTTTTTCCATAATGTAGCCTGTATATTCATAAGCTTTGCAGCAAGACTGAAGGAAAACAGAATGTGTATCAATAGACTAACCATGACATGGGATATGTGTTTATGGTTATAGAGTAATTATATTAACTTTTTTCCTTTTTAGAGATTTTTTTGCTATAGGGCACATGCATTCACCAGTGAGAGTGAGAAAGAAAGTGAGAAACTGCTCCCCAAGGGATATGGCCATGCTGCAATCCCTTCTCCATTCTCCTCCTGGTATCTTGGGTACACATGTACACATGCCCTAAGTGAGTTCCAACCTGCTAGGTTTAGGACTTGAACCATGGTCGACCATGTGGGAGTTCAGCACCACAACGCAATGCCACTGATTGGCTCCTATTTTTTTTTTCTTTTCATAACTCATAATCCCTTTATGTGGCACATAAGACAGTAATTTTCAACATTGGCTATGCAGTAAAATTATTTACAGAACTTAATAAAAATAATTATTTCTGGTATTAAATTGCCATCTCAAACTTACATAATCGGGATTTTTTATTTTTTTAAGAATCAGAAATAAACATCAGGGCATGTGTCTTTTACAAAGACAAATGAACAGTATTTATTATGAATAAATTCAACTTATACACATACAGAAGTAAGAGTACAAGAAAAACTCTATGAACCCATGCCATCTTCAACCTTAACTCATGACTAATACTGTTTTACCTCTACCTCTACCATGCAGTGTCCTTCCATATTACCAGAAAAAAAAAATCCTTAGATATTGTATCATTTCATCCATGAATTTGCTAGTATGCCTCTCTAAAAGGATTTCTTATAACCGTAACTATCATTTATCATATAGAAAATGCAATAGCTCCTTAAGATCATCAAATATTCAGTCACCATTCAAATTTTAAACTGTCTCAATACATGTGTGTGCAAATATATATACACATACATGTGTATATATATATATAGGTAGATAGGTTAGGTGTGTATATATATAGGTAGATAGGTTAGGTATATATATATATACCTATCTATTTTAGCTTCTTACAATGCGGATCCAAATAAAGCCCACACAGTGTGACTGGCTAGATGTCCCTGTAGTATCTTTTGTTCTGGAGGATCTGCTCTCTCTCTTAGTCTCTCTTTTCTTGGAATCAAATATAATAGAAATAGGAATATGTGTTCTAGAATTTCTCAAAAATCAGATTTGGTTAACTGCATCCTTGAGGTGGTTATTTAATATATTCCTATGTCATAGATATTTGCTGGCAGTTATAATTAGAACTAGACGTTTAGAATTTGTGAAAGGGTGAATCGGCTTCGTGGATTAGTACTGCTATATAGAGACACATCTGAGCCTGAGGCAACAGGAAAAACACATGACCCTGGATCCATGTTTTTATAGTTTTTAATTGCCGGTCTTACAGCCTAGTGGTTAAGGGAGCTAAATCTTGCATGGCCATCTATAGTTCAACCCCAGCACCAAAAGCTTGAAAAATACACCTGGCACCTATGCAGGGGTGGCCCAAATCTCAACAGGGTGGAAAAATAGAAGAGAAGGGCTTATGGCTATACCCCATTAGGGGATACTTTCTCTCTCTCTCTCTCTTTCTCTCTCTCTGTGGAAAATGCACATACCTTCTAGTACTTAAAAAAAATAGGTAGCATATTAAAACTCACAACATTAAGGCTGAATATTTTCCTATACCCAAACTGAATTTATTATATTACTCTCCTCCCTTTAGTGGAAGAAATTTTATCCATAATATTTTCATTAAAAAAAAACCATTAATATATATATGCAAATATGAATATAGGGACACACATTTTTTTCTTCTTAGATATGTAGCTCAGAGTAGTCAGATCCTGCCTATTTAACATTTTCATATTTTTAAAATTGTTTAAAATAAAATATCACATTAAATTATTTTTTATCTTTATTACTGAGTGTTTCACTTGCTCACTCCAGGTCAACCCTAATTCTCCCTCTCTTCATGATGGTATGTCTATTCACAAACTCATTAGGATTGAAAAATGTTAGTATTTTATCAAGTCTTTCTTCATCTCCTCATTTAATATTTAGTTACCCAACAGTATAGTCTGTACACAAATGGCAGGATAAGTGCTTAATTTTTACCTTTTGTTTGACATTTTTAGATATAATAGTTGATGAGCATACTGCAGAGGTAACCAATTACTTTTTTCTTTCTTTCTTGGATATTTGTGAAGTCATCAATCTGAATATACTTGATGTGTTTCAACCTACTGAAGTTATTATTTTCATTGATACTTAAAATATTCCAACTTTGGTTCCCAGGACTTTCTTTGACTCTTAAGTCTTTGATGTGACTTTAACATCTTTGATAGCTTCCTTGCCATCTGGTATGAGAAGATGGTCTAGTGTCATCTTGTACATTTTCTTCCCCACATCTAGATAGCTTCCTTTTTTTCTTTTCTTTCTTTTTTATTTATTTATTTATTTTTTTGTAGAGGTTTTTGCTATAGGGTGCTTGCGCTCTCCAGAAAGACAGAGAGAGAAAGAGAGACAGAAAGCGAAAAAGTCACCCCGCAGGGGGGATGGCCACGCTGCAATCCCTTTCCATTCTCCTCTCGGGATCTTGGGCATGCATGCATACGCGCCCAGTGTGAGTTTAAGCCACTGGGTCTGAGACTTGAACTGCGGTAGACTACATGGGAGTTCAGCAACATAGCCATTATGCTAACTGCTGGTCCCAATGGCTTCTATTTTTAAATTATATAATTCAATGTTCCTAAGCTTTATTTTCTAAATCTCAGGCTCCTAATGTGCCTAACCAGCAAGGTCAAATGAAATCTCTAAAGAAGACATCATATGCAAGGTAATGAACTGCTATCAGTTTTTAAGCAAAGAGAGATTCTATTTGTATCAAAATCTTAATTTCCTACCTGTCTGCCCGTATCCTAGTGGTTAGGGGAGCCAGGTTCCATATGGCCAACCAGTTTGAATCCTCCCTACCCCTACTCCAAGGAACACGCCAGGTACATGTGTGTTGTGTGTGCTCCAAATCCCAAAAGGATGGAGAATAAAGACAGGATTCAGGCATGACTATGGGCCCATGCGGGGCTCTTTCTCTCTAGCTCTGTGTTGCTCTGTCTCTTTCTGGCCAGCACAAATACCCTCTGGTAATTAAAAACAAAAACAAAAAACAACTTAATTCTTATGCAATCTTGCCTACTCCTAAACTAATCACATAAGGGTCACTGTTCAGCAGTTTAGATTTTGAAAGCCTATTAATGAACATTCTCTGTTTTTCAAGGCCAATTCAATTTAAAATTGATGAAACTGATAATTTAGGCTAGACTATATATTATTGGCTTGATGCTTTACGTTTTAAGGATCCTAAGAAAATATCTAATAGTCCTATACAAACATAACGTCTCTTGAAGGAACACATGACTTCATTTTCTCAAAAATAATAAAACAAATTTACTATGATTAGGGCTTTGAAAGACTTGATATGAATCTGTGAAGGTAAATATCCTTGAATTTCTAGGTGGAGTAATTACTCTCAACAAATAACACATTCTTAACTTTAAAAAGCTGTTATAAGGCATTTTTTGCAATTAAACACCAAAACATTACTAAAAAGTGTTAAATTTCAAAGACTTAGATATGTTCAATTTTATACCTAAAGATAAGAACATTTAATTAAACAAATATAATTAAAAACTGAAAACACTTTCCCCCACAAAATTTATTATGCATAGTGGATTCTGATAATGTGAAAATGACATGCAGCTGCAGTAAATTCATCAAGAGTATTTCTTAATTGAGGGACAGACGTCCGCAATTAATGCTCTTCTCCAATTTTCATTAGTTCTGGGATGAGATGGATAATCACAGATGAACCCTTGACATTCCAAAAACACTTTCTGTAAGGAGGGCATCACTATAGCTCAAACTTGAACCTGCATAAATCTTTTTTTCTTACTTTCAAGGGCAATGGTTTCTTTCTTATTATTACCGTTTATTTCCTCACTGTGGCAAGAATAAACATTTAATTTACCAAAAAATGCAAAGAATTCCTTGAAAATGGACCACCTCTCTGTAATAACCTATTATAGAAAGCTTATGCAACAAAGGTTAAAAGTTGTTTTTACTCTTCAGTCACGTACTCTATTATGACGCAGGCACCGTTTCAATAATTCTTCTGCCATGTCATATTTTGCTGACTGAATATAAATATCGGCAAGTAGCAGCCAACTCTTCTCAAACTCCTCAGCATCAATAGGATTCCAATTCATTTTTGCAATCCGCTTCAGCTGATTCCTGGCTCTTGGAGTCTGTTTCAAGATCATGTAAGCTGTTGCCATTCCCAAGAGTGCTGGGATATGATCCTTCTGGAAGACAACAAAACTTAATACTGTTAGATATACAAACATAAATAGCCTCTGTTGGAAAGAAAAACACATGTAAAGTAACAAGTGCTATATAATGTAAAAACTAGCTTGTGGATTCTATTTCTGGCTCCTTCAGAGAAAATTGTGATGATGGTCATTATTGAACACACCATGTAACCTCAAGCTAGCATGAAGAAACTTGGTCAGGCAATGTGTGGTCAGCATAATTCAGTAAGTATTACAGGGGCCATAACAACAATTTCAGCAATCAGTGCGACTCAGTCTTTAAATGGGATTGAATGGCTGTTTTCATTTTGTATAGAAACAGATAAAGTAATATTCTATTTCAGTATAATCTTTATTGAGCAGTGAGTATTCTTGTGTTAATATCTTGTCTCTTTAGTTCTTTTATTTGTCAAACAGAAATGACAAGTGACTATTTACTTGCAAATGATAGTACATATTGATGTTGATGCCATGACCCTTCTCCTTTATTCAAAAACCTCTTCTCCCAGTGAAGGTTTGACCAATGAAAGCTATAAATTAGGTTTGCAATTAATCTCTTGAAAATTATATGAAATAAGCTCAGGTCTTAAACATGTTTTTAGATTTGGAATCTAAAGCTTCTTGATAGGCTCTATAAAGGATATTCTTCTTTTTTTTTTTTTTTTGAGAGGTTTTTGCTATAGGGTGCATGCGCTCACCAGACAGACAGAGAGAGACAGAAAGCAGGAAATCACCCCCCGGGGGGATGGCCACACCGCAATCCCTTCTCCTCCATTCTCCTCTTGGGATCTTGGGCATGCATGCACATGCGCCCGGCGCGAATTTAAGTCACCGGGTCCGGGACTTGAGGTGCGGTCGACTACGTGGGAGTCCAGCGACATAGCCATTATGCTAACTGCTGGTCCCAAGGATATTATTCTTTTAGATAGAGCTACAAGTCAGAAAATGTCTCAGTGAAACCAACAGATTAATAAGACTTGATATAAAATAAAGGCCATCAACAATCTATACAGAAAACTAACTTAAGTAAGCAATAATATCCACGTCCCTGATTAAGCTAGTGTACTTCTTAGATTTCAGCAGAGGGATTACGCAGAAAACTAACTTAAGTAAGCAATAATATCCATGTCCCTGATTAAGCTAGTGTACTTCTTACATTTCAGCAGAGGGATTACATGCTTTTATAAAGAGGAAGGTCTCAGCTTAATATACAAACAAAGGCACCAGCAGCAGTGGCACAATAAGCAATGCAACACTCTGTGATGCTGGACCCATGTGGGAAAGTCCCAGATTTGTGTGCCAAGGTCTCTCTTTCCATGCTGGGCATGCATGTTTGTCCTTGTGATCTGGGCTGGCTGAGGCTGGGGGTGGATCGTGGCACAAACACCACATTGGGTTGCCTCACTATGTATGTCCTCATCTCTATCTCTATCTTTTTCTCTCTATCAAAAGAGAAATAAATGGGACCAGCAGTTGGTGTAATGGATGTGTCGCTAGACTCCCATGTAGCCGACTGCGGTTCGAGACCTGGACCCAGTGGCTTAAACTCAGACAGGGTGCGTGTGTGTACGTGCCCAAGATCCCGAGAGGAGAATGGAAAAGAGGGGATTGTGGCATGGCTATCCCCCCTGGGGGGGGGTTTTTCCCTCTCTGTCTCTGTCTTTTCGGCGAGCACATGTGCCCTATAGCAAAAACCTCTTCAAAATAAATAAATAAATAAGAAATAAATAAGCATTAAACAATACAAAGGGTAAGGAATTGTGACTTAGAAATTAGAATGTTATGACTATAATGAAAGGGGCACTATAAGATAGCAAATTGGAGTAAATAATTAGGAATACTGCAAATGGAAAATAGAGTAGCAAAATATTTAGTGTCCAACACTGATGGTGGCTGAAAGAAAGAAAAAAGAAACTACATAGAGAAGGGTAAATCATTAGCATTTGATTAAAAACAGCTTTTGGGAATATAAAATTTCCTTTGTCCTAATTCTATAAACTTCAATAAACTTCTAATATGTAACTTTTTTCTCTAGGTAAAGAATGATTAAAAATGGTTTCACTTGAAGGCCAACTCCAACCAATAAGTAATAGATTTTGAAGACATGGATGGAATATTATCAACTACTGAACTTCTTCCCCCCACTTTCCACTTCAGGTAGACTAAGAAAAGACAGAAAATAGAGACCTGTTATGTATCTGTCAGCCAAGTCCAAAGCCAGACTAAGAACAGAGGGACTGCTGAAAAGATCCCACACTTATTCAAAAATATTCCACACTACACGTTTTAAAATAAGCTCTCTGATTTGACTCCCACGTAGTCAACCGCGGTTCGTGTCCCGGACCCGGTGGCTTAAAACTCACACCGGGTGCGTGTGCGTGCGTGCCCAAGATCCCGAGAGGAGAATGGAGGAGAAGGGATTGCGGCGTGACCATCCCCCCTGGGGGGTGATTTCTCGCTTTCTGTCTCTATGTCTCTCTCTGTCTGTCTGGCGAGCGCACGCGCCCTACAGTGAAAAATCTCTCAAAAAAAAAGATTCCACACTTATTCACATGTACAAAAATATTCCACACTACACATTTAAAAATAAGCTCTCTGATTTTAAAACCGCAAAACTGAGTTTGATGATTTTGAATCAGTTCTTCACAGACTGATCACTTTTGAGTGGACTGAAGAATAGTTTCTAAACTGCCAAATCTGAGTTTTAAGCCCTGCAATAGATCATGATGTCTTTTTCTGGTGCAGACATCCAAGACCTTCGCCTGTTTCGCTTTCTCATTCTCACTCTAAACTGCAACAACTTTAGATTGAAAGTATAAGAGTCAGTCGTGGGCAATGCAGCAATGCGTTTTTACGGTTCAAGGTGATTGAATGAAACAAATGAAGAACTTTAGCTTGGGCTTAATGCATCTTCTACTGTTTCCTCTGGGATTTCCTGTCACACTCTTCGCTTTCTATCCATCCGAGTGACACATAGTGGTGTGAATACTCCATATGCGTTTTTGCCTCCATTTTGTTTGTATTTTTCCTTTCACCTAGAGTGCATTTATTCCATCTCTGCTAGTGCCAATAGAATTTATCCTAATTCTTCTTAAATCATACCTTCTCAATTAAAGGTCTCCCAACTCTTCATACATAGTCTTGTACAACACTTCTATCTTCAGTTCTAGGAGAGACTGTATTTTTGCTTTGTATTACAGTCACTATAGTCAGTATGCTTATCTTACCCTCTGTAGATTATGAGAAACTTGAAAAAATGAACTATATATTGTTTATCTTTGCAACTTTGCTTAGCACACACTGGCTGCCTAGTGAGTATTTGTCATATTGAATATCTTTGGCCTAGGAGTTTAAAAATATGAGGAAATTCAATATTTATGCAACTTCAGCTCATATATCCTTATAATTTGAATAATATAGTCAGTAAATAGATTTGAGGATGGTACATAAGTAATCTCTCATGTAAGGATGATTTTTAAAAATGCAGTCTTAACACAGACAGCTGGTGTAGTCTTTCTAGGAAATAGTTGTAATGTCATTCATTCACTGCTTTTAGTTGTTTGTTCTCTCAAACTTCACAGTAAGAATAGTGAGTTTACTCTCTCATTGTTATGAGGTAGAATGCCACTTTACAACATTCAGCAGCCATGGCACCTTACTTGAAATTGCATTTTGTAATGTTCTTACAGCTTTTCCTAGAACTAGAGGACTGTTCTCCCCTCATTCAGCAGCTGCCATTTCTTGCTACATAAAGCCAATTCAACAGAGTACAACCTTTGGGAATGTCTGTAAGGGACTCTGCTACAGACTATTATTACTGCTAGTGCCGCCTCACTGTTCTGTTCCAAGCCTGGCTTAGACTAGTAATAATGCTGCCATCAGATGTAGCTATACTCAAACCATAACAGGAGTTGTAGGTCTCCAAAACCCCAACATCTTAATCTCTTCCAGAGTCCTGGAAGGTGAGGGCAAGGGACTACTGTAGGGTATTCTGGTAATTCAGTGCTACAGCAAACTCTGAAACACAGAAAAATACAGCAAAATTCTGTATATCTTCTGAGAGACACAGAATTATGAATTTTTGGTGGCCTATAGTACTTTTGAATGAAAGAAAAAAAAACATACAGTCCAGAGAACATGCTTAGAACTAGTTGTTAACAACTGCTCATGAGTGGATATCTAAAATTACTTCTTTAATATCAAGTAACTAAAGAAATACAGCACTGTAAGAAAGAAGGAAAAATAGAAAACCCAGAGGGAGAATGGAAGTGGATTTCACTGGAGTGAAAAGAGAAAAAGGCCTTTGATCTTCTAAGAATAATAATACTAAAATAACAACAATCCAAAAGGTTGCAGGACCTTGTTTCAGTGTTATTAGAGAACAACATGATCATTTGCATGACTGAATTATAAACTGTCAGGATTGATCTTGTTTACTGCTAGAGTAGAAAAAATTCCACTTCACATAAATGCAAAGGTAACATATAAAGGGAAATGGTTGTTTATTTTGACTTAGTAAGCTAACCTAGGCTACAACATAGATATTTTCTAGGGGATAAAGTCATTACCTTAAGAATTAACTTCCAGGGCCAGCAGGTGATGGCGTGGTTAAGGTACTAGACTCTCACAGGGTCAACCATGGTTAGAGTCCCAAACTCTGCTTGAAAATCATACCAGATGCGTGTGCATGTGTGCCCCAATTCCAGGAGGAGAATGAAGGTGAAGAGACTGTGGCATAGCCATCCTCCCAGGAGGGAGGTTATTTCCTGCTTTCCCTTTCCCTGCTTCTCTCTCTCTCTCTCTCTCTCTTTCTCTCCTGCAAGCACACATGTCCTATAGCAAAAATCTTTTAAAATAAAATTTAAAAATTCTAGAGAAAGGGAATTCTTCAAACGGGCATAAGTTAATTATTATGATGTATGCATTTGGCATAGAAAAAGTACGTCATGACTTTTCCAACAATCTACTAATTCATCAAAAAGTCACACAGCTAACAAATACGTTAATTCTTATGATCTTTTCAAGAATTCTCTTTCTGTAGAATTCAACATCCCAGTAGAGATAAATATTGGGTTGTCAGAAAAGCATGATTTGTTTTTCTACACAAAATGCATCAGGAATTTCCCAACTACCCAATATATCAATGACATATCACAACAGTAACAGTGTCTCTTTTGGAATAAAGGTACACTCTGCAAAATTATTTGAGACTAAATATCTAATTTTAAAAAAGTAATGAAATTGATCTTCAGAAAATAAACTACTCAAAATATATGCTTTATACCACCAAGGAAATACACAAAATTTAACAAGGAAATCTACTAACCTCAGATGTTGCTATTTCGGTGAAGGTATTTAGTGCTTGTTCCACATTAGATTTCTGTTTGGTAGCCATCAGACAATAGTTTTCCATTATGCGAAGCTGTACGTGACCCTGAACAGTCTGAGGTTTTAATTCTTTAAGGAGTTTTTCTGCTGTTCTCACTGCTAATTGTAAAGATTCTTGCTTCTCATTTGAATTACTGTATATAAGTAAAAATAAATCACTCATGTCTATTACTCATGATACGCAATTCACTGAGATTAGAATCAGAACTTTAGGGTATACTGGTTTCTTCTGTGCACACTCATTGCAAAGTCATCCTTTGTGAAAAATGTCCCTCATTCTCTTATAATACAAAGGGACACACAGTTACCATGTACTTTTTAAAACAAAATTAATAGTCTCAGTAAAACACCATTAAACATTAATTCATTCTAGAATGAAGATAAAAATTGAACAGTAATAAAAAACTACTGGGTCAGAAAAGTCATGACACGTTTTTGCATAGAAAAACACGGAAAAATGTGTCATGACTTTTCTGATGACCTAACAGAACAAAAGTAGAATTACACAATTATCAAATGGTGTATCAACTCAGAAAATGAAAAGAAAGGAAGAAAGGTGGGAAAAGGGTCAAGTACTATCAGCAATCTGTTGATTCTATCTTACACATGGGAAAACTGAGGTTCGAACACGAGAAATACTGGGTGATTGGAACAGTAACAGTAATGCATGCCGCACACATCTTTGCATAGAAAAACACACCATGACTTTTCCGACAACCTAATAATTCATCAAGTCATATAGCTAAGAAATGGTAACTACGGGATTTGATTCTAAACTTGTCAGAGATAAGAGTCTATTTTCCTCACCATGTTGCCTCCCAGACTTAGAAAAGAAAATATATGTGTCAGACCCAGCCGTGGTGGTGCATGGGAGCCTGGAGGCCACATGAGAAGAACGAGCTGCACATGTGTGCTATATCACAGCTGACAGGGAGACAGGGGCAGGAGGACCACAACACAGTGAGACCCTGTCAACAAACACCATCTCTGTCTTTTTCCTTTCTCTCTATCACCCTCTCTCTGTCTCTCCTTCTCTCACATAAAACTAAAAAAAAAAAAAACCTGTCAAAAGGTTGTAAATTTCAAGTGCAATAACAATTTGAATAGCAATTTTCTTATGTTTTATACATATGCACATATATAATCAAGGAAATTAAACTCTCAAAGTTTAATCACAAAAGCCATTGACCCTTTTCTTTCTTTTTTGGAGAGGTTTTGGCTATAGGGCACGTGTGCTCGCCAGACAGAGAGAGACAGAGAGGAAGAAAGCAAGAAATCACCCCCCAGCAGGGACGGCCACGCCGCAATTACTTCTCCTCCATTCTCCTCTCGGGATCTTGGGCACGCACGCACACGCGCCCAGCATGAGTTTAAGCCACCAGGTCCGGGACTTGAACCATGGTCAACTATATGGGAGTCCAGCAACAGAGCCATTATGCTAACTGCTGGTCCCCCATTGACCCTTTTCTTAGGTCTTAAGATTTTTATCTTATGTAAAAAATTTTGCACCATTAGCTACCTCTTTAAAGCAATTTTGTTCAGCTTTAGTTTTCTTTCTATCACACTGACTAGCCTTTTCTGACCTTCCTTCTTCTTCCAGATCCCTTAAATATTAGCATGCCCCAAATTTAGTTCTCAGACATCTTCGGCTACGAACTCAACCAACAAAGAAGTCATTTAAAGAGTCCTAACTAAGTACTCTGTGTAGACATCTCCCAAATTATATCTCTGGCTGTAATCTCCCTTATGTGTTTTAGTATTGTGTTTGCTGAAGATGCTACTTGAGTAGCTTAAAGTTGTATCATACAACAGTATGTTATCTCAGCCTGCTTAAAAACTTAAACATCCCATTCCAAACTTTCAATGGTTTCTGCACTCTAAACCTTAAAATCTGTCATTGAAATATCTCAGCAATCTAGTTATAATATCTTCCCACTCCTCCATACATTTTCCCCTGACTACTATGTACTTTATGATTTCTATGAACTTCTTCAATACCTAATATACATTTTAACCTATTTCTGTTTCATGGCAGATGGAGCAGTTTCAGGCATCATCTTGCCTGGGTAAACCACATGCTCCTGGAGGGAAAAAATACACCGAATGCTCTCTTTACATCCTTATACACTGCCCACCATGCTTTCCCATTTCTGAGTAGAAGATAAGCGATGTAGACAAGCTGAGAGAAAAATTACCATTTACCAGCAGGGCTGTGACAGACACCAGGATCTTTGAGATTAGGTGGAATTCAGTCCAAACCTTGCCTCCACCATTCCTAACTATCAGGTTACCAAGCTATTATTTCATGATATTGTTGGAGGCAATAAATGAGATAGTGCATACAAAGTATAGAGCATAGAGTATGGCATGTAATTGCCACTTGTTAAGTAGTTACTGTAATTATGCAATTTTTTGCCACAGATGCTGACTGTTACAACTTACCTTGTTTTCTACAGAGTAGTAAGAGAAGTGTCTTCATAACTGTTTTGACTTAGAAAACCTAAACATGTGTCATTCAGGGAACAGATATTTTACCTATGATTTATTTACTTACTTAAAAATATTACTACAAGGCTCATGTGCTCATGAAAGAGAGACAGAGAGAGAATGTGAGAAATCACCACCCCCATGGCCCGCGAAGGGGGATGACCACCTGCAATCCCTTCTCTTCCTCCTTCTCCTCCATTCTCCTCTCAAGATTTGTGGCACACATACACACACACACACACACACACACACACACACACACACACGTTCAGTGTGTTTTTCAAGCTGCTGGGCTTGGGAATCATCTGGGATCCAGCTGCCTTAATACACCAAACCACCGGCAAGCCCTTTAGCTATGATTTATTCACCTGACTTTTCATTACTGATATCCTAGAATTTAGTTCTCTTATAAAATATTCCTGCTATTACCCCCCCTCAAGTGTTAACATAAAAAGGAAAAAAATGAAGACAATATGTCAAACACTACTCACCCCAGGTCTCCATCCAGGTTTTCAAATACTTCACCTCCAATAGTTTCATTATCTGGATTCAGACAGATTTCTATCATATTATACAGGGCATTCTGGCCCCAATCACTGTCTTTCCGTGCTTTGTTAAAATTTCGAAGGGCATCATTTGGTTCACCAGTGTACCTTGTTAGGCATTTAAGAAAATTATTTATTTCAATCAATATCTATAAAATTTATACTAGCTTATTATCTGCTTGGCGAAGAAAACTATTAACATGTTTTAAAATGGAGATATTTTTGACGGTAAAAATACTCATATTCTACATTATCTACAATGAGAAAAAATAATACATAGTATATATTTGCAAAGATTTACCAAAGATATAGTCCTTTACAGTACTGAAATCCTGGCTCAAATTTTGCTCTGGAGTTACGTTTTTCAGCCATTAAGAAAAATCTTGGAACATCCTCAAGTTTCCCACATCTTCTCAGGAGATCAATCAAACGAGATAATGTCATATAATTATCTAGAAACAAATAATACTTCAGATATGGACACATTTTTATATCTTTTGTTTTGATAATTATAACCCTACTTCATTAAAGTATAATCTACTTCAATCTACTTATTTAAATATAAGCGAAGGAATGCCTCAGAGGTGGTAAGTCCTTTGAAAGACTGCAAGACCAATTTGACAGTCTAGCAAATGACATAGGTAGGACTGGGCTGATCACAGCAAGAAAAGTTTCTAAATAGGCAAGTCTAAAAAAATGCATTGTTGTAATTTACCTTTCTATTATTCCGTGATCAAAATCTAGAAATAGTTATCTCTATTTAGGTAATCTAGACTAAAACGGTAAAATTCAGGAGGTCTGATTTAATTGCACAAGGTAAGTCACTGATTAAGACTTCTTCCCTTGGGGCCAGCAGTTAGTGTAATGGCTATGTCGCTGGACTCCCTTGTAGTCAATTGTGGTTTGAGTCCTGAACCCAGTGGCTTAAACTCACGCCGGGCGCGTGTGCGTGCGTGCCCAAGATCCTGAGAGGAGAATGGAGGAGAAGGGATTGCCGCGTGGTCATTCCCCTTGGGGGGTGATTTCTCACTTTTTGTCTCTCTGTCTCTCTCTGTCTGTCTGGCGAGCGCACGCGCCCTATAGCAAAAACCTCTGCAAAACAAACAAACAAACAAAAAAAAACAAACCTCCTTTTCCCACTTATTGCAACTGGGAAGGGGTGAGAATCATGTATTTTAACACTAATGTTTGGGGTGGACAATTACAAATTTGACTCTTAGACTCTTTAATATGTATATGTACCTAACATAACAGATCCTATTGTAGTTTACCATACTATAATTCTAACATATTAGTCTTGGTATTTTAATCGTATTTCACTTTCTACAGAAAAAGAACGTTTTCAGTTCTTTATTTTCACATAAAATTTCTTGGCAGGTTTTCAACTCTACCTAGTTCTCCCTTACCACAAACATACCCAGCTTTGAGCATAGAGAAGGAAAAAAAATCACTCATCTTTCTACCAGCTACCACATTTTTAAAGAACTGTACTACCTTTCTTTCTTCCTTCTTATTTTAAAAACTGTACCACATTTCTTTGCTTACATATATAAAAACTTGGAGCCAGCCTGAGGATTTGATTTTGACTCAACATTATACATTAAACACTTCCCAACTATCACTCAATATTCTCAAAGACATGATTTGCCAGCTGCGAAGTCTATGGTATCAACGGTTCACATTTCAGTCTTTTCTCTAGAGCTGTGGTTTTATGTGCTCAGGCTCTCATGTTTCAGTCAGCTTCCCTCTGACAGCAGAGGAGTACTAACTACACTTATAAAAGCTACTCTGATCACTCTCTTAGAGTGAATTCCTAGAATTAAATAACAATCACAAAGAAACAAATTATGTTAACAATGTGACCACCGTTTTATTTTTTAAGAAAAGAGAAGATACCATATGACCCAGCAATTCCATTTCTGGGTATAAACCCCCAAAGAATTCAAAGCAGGGACTTAAACCATTATCTGTACACCAATGCTCATAGCAGCATTATTCGTCACAGCAACAAGCAGAAAAACAAAAACAGAAACCTGTGTACCTGAATGGGTGAATGAATAAACAAGATGTGTTATATTCATAAAACAGAATATTATTCATCCTTACAAAGGAAGGAAATCTGACATTTGTTACAATGTGGAAGAACTCTGAAGCCATCACACTAAGTGAAATAAGCCAGACGATGCCACTTATACAAGGCACCTAAAGACAGAAATTAGAGCGGTGGCTGCCAGGGGACGAAAGAACAAAGAATGGGGAGCTCGTATACAGGGTTTCATTTAAAAATGATAAAAATATTCACATTCTGGAGATGAATAATGGTGATAACTTACACAATGTCCATGTATGCCACTGAACTATACATTTGAAAATAGTTAAGATAATAAATATTATGTTATTTTTTTCTCTCTGTCACACACACACACACACACACACACACACACACAGAACCACGTCTGGAGGCTTCACATCTACTCTGTTTCACAACGTCACAATAATCCAGGTTGACAATACTATCACTTGCCCTCCCTGATTTATTGTCTTGATCATAAAGATATTGTTCTTCCTGACTTTTGGCATCACTGAAAAACAGAACATGATTAGAATATGACATCAGGGGCAGTCAGTGATTTGGTGGCTAAGGCAGCTGATCCCACATGGCCGACTGGGGGTTCATGGACCCAGCAGACTGAAAAACATGCCAGACAATGGTGTGTGCATGCCCCGAACTCCAAGAGAATGGAGGAGAAGGAATTGCAGCATGGCCATCACCCCTTGGAGGGTGATTTAAACATGCCAGACAATGGTGTGTGCATGCCCCGAACTCCAAGAGAATGGAGGAGAAGGAATTGCAGCATGGCCATCACCCCTTGGAGGGTGATTTCTCCTATCTCTCTCTTTCTCTCTCTCTCTCTCTCTGGAGAGTGCATATACCCTATAGCAAAACTTAAGAAAAAAAAATACAACTTCAAAAAGATTCCAATATTGGTCTTATTCTTAAGCTATACAAATTTAACAAACTCCTCAAATTCTATGAGTCTAAGAATACCTATTTTCTTAACATAGAGTTATAACACTGTGTCAGACTGCTATATAAATTAAGTCCTGAAAGAGATTTATAAGCTACAGATATCATCAGCAACAAACATCTAAAAGTTTTGATAAGAAATAGAAACACATAATAAAAACCACAGAACCTAGACGCTGTATGAGAATAGCAGGAACTAGGGATTAGCAGTTGGCATAATGCTATGTCGCTGGACTCCCATGTAATCGACCATGGAGTCCCAGACCCAGTGGCTTAAACTCATGCTGGGCATGTATGTGTGTGTGTGCCCAAGATCCCGATTGGAGAATGGAGGAGAAGGGATTGCAGAGGGGCCATCCCCCCTGGCGGGCGACTTCTCACTTTCTGTCTCTCTCTTTCTGGCAAGTGCACACACCCCATAGCAAAAACCTCTCAAAACAAAACAAAACAAAACAAAACAAAAACCAAAAAACAAAAATCAAAAAAACAACAACAAAAACCCTCCAAAGCCTGAAAAACATTAGGGGCCAGCAGGTGGCATGGCTGAGGTGCTGGACTCCATGTAGACAAACATGGTTTGAATCTTGGACCCAATGGCTTTAAAATCACACCAGTCATATGTGCATGTGTGCCCAAAATCCTGAGAGGAGAATGGAGGAGAAGAGATTTCTCACTTTGACTCTTTCTCTCTTACTACAGCAACTGCATATGCCCTATGGCAAAAATCTGAAAAATGATGACAACAACAACAAATAGAACTGAAACATATTATACTTTGGGAAAAAAAAAAAACTTGCTAACTCATCTTTATTGATGGATAGTGGGGGAAGATAAAATAATTATAACGTGATATGACAAGATATAAATGCAATTTAAGAAATTATAAAGCATTAGAATTATAAAGCATTAAAATTCCTAACATTAAGGAACTCAGGAAAGGTGTCACATACCAGATATCTTCTGAGCAGCCTCAAGCAGAAAAGGATCTTTCTAGACAGACAAGGGCATTCCAAATAGCAGATGACATGTGTAAACACAGAGGCAGAGAAAAGGATGGAGATTATTGGCAATTTTGATGTTATTAGATATTAAAGTGAAAGAAGAGAGCTAAGAAATATGAGTGAATGGATAATGGGGCCACAGTATTAATAAAATAATGCTATGATTTTAAATTTTATCCTGAAACATCATCTTAAATTTTGAGAAAAGAAATAGATTTTGATTTTTAAGGTTAGTAAGATCTTGCTATGGCAGCCTACAAGAACAAGAGCCTAGGGCAGAAAGACTAGCTAGGGACTGCACTGGATCAGCCAACAGGGATGAGGGTCTTAATTAGAGCAGTAGGCAAGGGGACAGCAGACTGGATATACGTTATCAAGGAGACAGAACTGACAGGAACAGTGAACCAATTAATGTAAAGAAAAGGAAAAACTCAAGGTGATATGGAGAGTTCTGAATGAAAAATAAAAGTACAATTTGTCAAGATACCAGTAATCAGATCTACAAGAGGCATTTTTCCACTAGCTAGGTAAAGTCAAATGGGACAGTACACTTCTGAAATACGCTAAAACAGAGCCTTAATCCAAAGTCAAAGATTTGTTACTGAAGATGACCAAAAACACACGTATAGATGAGTATAGATGTGTATACTTTAGAATAATTCTGTCAAAATATTGAATAGATCTGTGTAAAGCATGTTTTGTCCTATTAGAAAAATCCATACAACATAATATTTAAAACATAAAATATCAGAGATAATAGATATTTACTTAACGTTTTGTATTTTTTTAAGAGAGATTTTGCTATAAGGTGCATGTACTCGCCAGAGAGACAGAAAGACAGAATGCGAGACATCACGCCTCCTCCCCCAGAGGGGCTGACTATCTATAAAATGGAGTACACAGGTAAAACAAATTAAATGACCTATGTTAGTCCAAAGGAGGGCATTTTTCTTTTAATTACCAATTCTAAAGAGAAATTAAAATGTTGATATTACTATATAATCATGCAATCTCTTCTCCTCCATTCTCTTCTTGGGACCTTGGGTACATGCCCAGCATGAGTTATAAGCCACCAGGTCCTGAACTTGAACCACAGTAGACTGTGTGGGAATCCAGTGATGTAACCAATATGCCATCTGCTGGTCCCAACATTTTGGAATTTTAAATGACTTGATATTTCACAGATACTCGAGCCATTAAAAAATTTTACTTTGTACCCTCT